TTACACCTGCGTAAACATGTTGCACCTGCGTAAACATGTTACACCTGTGTAAACATGTTGCACCACATATCCAGTTGTGGTAAGGAGACTCTCTAGATCAAGAAAAATAAAATAAACAAGAGTCCATTTGGCCTTTGGTGACTCAAATTTCACACTCGTGTGCACACATACAAAATATATTCTCAACAATATTCACACCACTCTTTAAGGATGTTTTCACACCTGATAGGCCGGTAGACTCGGTTTCATTGTGGACCAAAATTTGGAACATCATTTTCATCTGGGGTGGTTCGCATTCACACTACACTGAGTCAATCGAGCCAACCTATACCCCCCCCCCCCCTTCACCTGTGGGGGCGCTGCACCAAGAACTAATAATAATAATAATAATAATGTCATCACAATGTCAGCACTGTATGTTTCCATACAATGGCGAAATTAGTCTCTGCATTTAACCCACCACCAGGTGGTGCAGTGGGCAGCTATTGAAAGTGCCCGGGGGACATTTTGGGGATTAGACGTGCTGCCCAGAGACGCCACGTGATGTGCAGTGACTGGGGATCGAACCTGGGACTCTCGGGTCCCAAGCCGGCTGCCCTGCCTCTACACCATCTCGGCCCCTCTACTGAAGGAAACGACACAAAAACCTCTGAAGAAGACACTTCTTCTTCTTCTTCTGGAAATAAAAACAAAAATGGAGTGGCGTCAAATTTGATCAGTTTTAGGATTTCTGTTTTGTCAGTGGCTCATGTGCCAAACAAACATTTTTCAACCAAGGACTCGGCATGAGTGGAAGATGAGGCAGAAGACCATGGAGAATGCTGTTTTTCACACAAGGCAAGCTGACGGCTCTGTATGAGGTAAGAGAAATGCGTGTTTGTTTGCCCTGCGCTGTAGTCCACTTCCTGGTTTTGGAGCGGTGTCTGGTCCACTTGCATTCACATTGCATTCGAACCACGTTAAGAGTTCATTTCAGTCTAACAGAGACCTATCACTCCCAACACACCAAGGCCATTTTTGATTCACTTTTTTTTTGTTGCATTTGGCAAGAAAAGAGATCCAGTCCTCCAATGACACTGTGTGTACTGAGAGCCCCTGGGGTGGGGGGGGGTGTTAGGTACAATCATCACAACTAAAACCTGTTTTCCATTCATTTTGAATGTAGAGGAATAGATTTAATAGGTATTTATGAAAATAACATGTTATGTCAGGATTACGGTACATAAAAAATGTGTGGATGGGAGTCAGTGGGACCAAATTGGGTCTTGGAGTAAAGAATGTTGGCTTTATTATTATTATTTTTTTTAACCTTTTATTTTTACAGCTAGTCTCATTGAGGACTCATTTTCAAGAGAGACCTGTCTTAGACAGACTACAATAAACAACAATAAAATCAATTAAAAACAATAATGTAATAAAAACAATAAAATCAACGTACCATATAAAACAAGATAAAACACTAAAAATAAGAACGTTTGCTTAGATTTTTCTTTTGACCTTATCAAATGTTTAAAATCCCTTAAAGAAATCCAAATGGACAACTTATGTGCAGATCTCCCAAAATCATACAAAACAAATCCTGGCCAAGTTTCATGGAATTAGTCTTTAACCTACTGATATGTTGAGAATCAAAACTGGCAAATAAGCAGAATGTACACCTTTGGTCCCCTAAGGTGTTTTAAGGGTTAAACTTTTAAACACAGGAAAAAAAAAGAGCTGTAACTCAGTTTTTTAATGTTTAAACTTCTAAATATACAATCTGTTCCCGGGCGTTTGTATTAGCCGGCTGATTGTGTTATTAGTCTGCTCAGTTTATGTGGTTAATCCTTAGATCATCCTGTGTTCATCCACTCATCCTCTCATGCTCGGCTCGTAATCCCCTCATCCCTTGCTCCCCGGGATGCTCAGCAACCTCTGGCTGCTTATCTGCTCTCAATCTGTCTTCGCTCTTCTGCTTTCATTTCCCACAGTAAACGAGTGGATGCCTGGAAGTCAATTAAACCGTTTAGATTTCAGTGTAACCTGATGAAGCTATGAATCATTTCCTTTCAAAATAAAAGACCCAACACTCCTCGCAGGAATGCATATCACCTGCCACCTTTCATGCTGGAGTTTAAAGTGAGATGTGCGATCTCACGCTATAATTTAAGATTTCGCCCTCTCAGATTATCTGTTGGGGATGACTCTTGGCTGCAGCCTCACCAAGTTTTAGCTCATTAAATGTAAAATTGGCTGAATTATAGGCACTTCAGTGTTTCCTAAAGTAGCAGCCATCCTAAACTGTAATAACTCCAGAACTTAATCTGTTGTAGATTTACATCCGATGTTCACTTTCTGAGAGTTCTATGAAAATCTGTGCAGTTTTTATTTATTTTTTTGCTAACAGACTGACCTACAAACGTGCACTGTGTCACCAGCAAAAACTCTTTTCATTGCCTACCCTTCACCTTTCTATAGCAGCGATTAAAAAAAACATTACATAGATTCTCATTAAGCTTTTTTGTTAGCCTGAACTGTCTTCTGCTGGAAATAGAAGACACCAGTCTACTTTTTCTTCTTCGGGGGGCTCAGAAGTGTGAACTGACTCGGGGGATGAAGAAAAAAAGAAAACAATGCCAGACAGCCGAGACTTTCACAGCACAGAGGTGCTAAACTGTCAACAGCAGTGTGAGAGTGATGCGATCAAAGACTCCTGATAGGAAGAGCCAGCAGGAGCTGAATGAGAGGCGAGTCCTCTGCAGGTGGAGCTCACACATCCATCCATCCATCCATCCATCCATCCATCCATCCATCCATCCAT